ATGTCATACACAGACAAAAGTGTGACATGTCACCAACAATCAGTGGGCAATGTCATACACAGACAAAAGTGTGACATGTCACCGACAATCAGTGGGCAATGTCATACACAGACGAAAGTGTGACATGTCACCGACAATCACAAGGCAATGTCATACACAGACAAAAGTCTGACATGTCACCGACAATCAGTAGGCAATGTCATACACAGACAAAAGTCTGACATGTCACCGACAATCACAAGGCAATGTCATACACAGACAAAAGTGTGACATGTCACCGACAATCAGTAGACAATGTCATACACAATCAAAAGTGTGACATGTCACCGACAATCAGTAGGCAAAGTCATACACAGACAAAAGTGTGACATGTCACCAACAATCAGTAGGCAATGTCATACACAGACAAAAGTGTGACATGTCACCGACAATCAGTAGGCAATGTCATACACAGACAAAAGTGTGACATGTCACCGACAATCACAAGGCAATGTCATACACAGACAAAAGTGTGACATGTCACCGACAATCAGAAGGCAATGTCATACACAGACAAAAGTGTGACATGTCACCGACAATCAGTAGACAATGTCATACACAGACAAAAGTGTGACATGTCACCGACAATCAGTAGGCAAAGTCATACACAGACAAAAGTGTGACATGTCACCGACAATCAGTAGGCAATGTCATACACAGACAAAAGTGTGACATGTCACCGACAATCACAAGGCAATGTCATGCAAAGACAAAAGTGTCACATTTCACCAACAATCAGTAGGCAATGTCATACACAGACAAAAGTGTGACATGTCACCGACAATCAGTAGGCAATGTCATACACAGACAAAAGTGTGACATGTCACCGACAATCACAAGGCAATGTCATACACAGACAAAAGTGTGACATGTCATCGACAATCAGAAGGCAATGTCATACACAGACAAAAGTGTGACATGTCACCGACAATCAGTAGGCAATGTCATACACAGACAAAAGTGTGACATGTCACCGACAATCAGTAGGCAAAGTAATACACAGACAAAAGTGTGACATGTCACCGACAATCACAAGGCAATGAGGGGCGGTCGGGTAGCCTAGTGGTTAAGGCGTTCGCTCGTCACGCCGAAGACCCGGGTTCGATTCCCGACATGGGTACAATGTGTGAAGCCCATTTCTGGTGTCCCCCGCCGTGATATTGCTGGAATATTGCTAAAAGTGGCGTAAAACCATATTCACTCACTCACTCATTCACAAGGCAATGTCATGCAAAGACAAAAGTGTGACATGTCACCGACAATCAGCAGGCAATGTCATACACAGACAAAAGTGTGACATGTCACTGACAATCAGTAGGTAATGTCATACACAGACAAAAGTGTGACATGTCACCGACAATCACAATGCAATATCATACACAGACAAAAGTGTGACATGTCACCGACAATCGGTAGGCAATGTCATACACAGACAAAAGTGTGACATGTCACCGACAATCAGTGGGCAATGTCATACACAGACAAAAGTGTGACATGTCACCGACAATCAGTAAGCAATGTCATACACAGACAAAAGTGTGACATGTCACCGACAATCAGTAGGCAATGTCATACACAGACAAAAGTGTGACATGTCACTGACAATCAGTAGGCAATGTCATACACAGACAAAAGTGTGACATGTCACCGACAATCAGTAGGCAATGTCATACACAGACAAAAGTGTGACATGTCACCGACAATCAGTAGGCAAAGTAATACACAGACAAAAGTGTTACATGTCACCGACAATCAGTAGGCAATGTCATACACAGACAAAAGTCTGACATGTCACCGACAATCACAAGGCAATGTCATACACAGACAAAAGTGTGACATGTCACCGACAATCAGTAGGCAATGTCATACACAGACAAAAGTGTGACATGTCACCGACAATCAGTGGGCAATGTCATACACAGACAAAAGTGTGACATGTCACCGACAATCAGTAAGCAATGTCATACACAGACAAAAGTGTGACATGTCACCGACAATCAGTAGGCAATGTCATACACAGACAAAAGTGTGACATGTCACTGACAATCAGTAGGCAATGTCATACACAGACAAAAGTGTGACATGTCACCGACAATCAGTAGGCAATGTCATACACAGACAAAAGTGTGACATGTCACCGACAATCAGTAGGCAAAGTAATACACAGACAAAAGTGTTACATGTCACCGACAATCAGTAGGCAATGTCATACACAGACAAAAGTCTGACATGTCACCGACAATCAGTAGGCAATGTCATACACAGACAAAAGTCTGACATGTCACAACAATCAGTAGGCAATGTCATACACAGACAAAAGTGTGACATGTCACCGACAATCACAAGGCAATGTCATACACAGACAAAAGTGTGACAAGTCACCGACAATCACAAGGCAATGTAATGCAAAGACAAAAGTGTCACATTTCACCAACAATCAGTAGGCAATGTCATACACAGACAAAAGTGTGACATGTCACCGACAATCACAAGGCAATGTCATACACAGACAAAAGTGTGACATGTCATCGACAATCAGAAGGCAATGTCATACACAGACAAAAGTGTGACATGTCACCGACAATCAGTAGGCAATGTCATACACAGACAAAAGTGTGACATGTCACCGACAATCAGTAGGCAAAGTCATACACAGACAAAAGTGTGACATGTCACCGACAATCACAAGGCAATGAGGGGCAGTCGGGTAGCCTAGTGGTTAAGGCGTTCGCTCGTCACGCCGAAGACCCGGGTTCGATTCCCGACATGGGTACAATGTGTGAAGCCCATTTCTGGTGTCCCCCGCCGTGATATTGCTGGAATATTGCTAAAAGCGGCGTAAAACCATATTCACTCACTCACTCACTCACAAGGCAATGTCATACACAGACAAAAGTGTGACATGTCACCGACAATCAGTAGGCAATGTCATACACAGACAAAAGTGTGACATGTCACCGACAATCACAAGGCAATGTCATACACAGACAAAAGTGTCACATTTCACCAACAATCAGTAGGCAATGTCATACACAGACAAAAGTGTGACATGTCACCGACAATCACAAGGCAATGTCATACACAGACAAAAGTGTGACATGTCACCGACAATCAGAAGGCAATGTCATACACAGACAAAAGTCTGACATGTCACCAACAATCAGTAGGCAATGTCATACACAGACAAAAGTGTGACATGTCACCGACAATCAGTAGGCAATGTCATACACAGACAAAAGTGTGACATGTCACCGACAATCAGTAGGCAATGTCATACACAGACAAAAGTGTGACATGTCACCGACAATCACAAGGCAATGTCATACACAGACAAAAGTGTCACATTTCACCAACAATCAGTAGGCAATGTCATACACAGACAAAAGTGTGACATGTCACCGACAATCACAAGGCAATGTCATACACAGACAAAAGTGTGACATGTCACTGACAATCAGAAGGCAATGTCATACACAGAAAAAAGTCTGACATGTCACAACAATCAGTAGGCAATGTCATACACAGACAAAAGTGTGATATGTCACCGACAATCACAAGGCAATGTCATACACAGACAAAAGTGTGACAAGTCACCGACAATCACAAGGCAATGTAATGCAAAGACAAAAGTGTCACATTTCACCAACAATCAGTAGGCAATGTCATACACAGACAAAAGTGTGACATGTCACCGACAATCACAAGGCAATGTCATACACAGACAAAAGTGTGACATGTCATCGACAATCAGAAGGCAATGTCATACACAGACAAAAGTGTGACATGTCACCGACAATCAGTAGGCAATGTCATACACAGACAAAAGTGTGACATGTCACCGACAATCAGTAGGCAAAGTAATACACAGACAAAAGTGTGACATGTCACCGACAATCACAAGGCAATGAGGGGCGGTCGGGTAGCCTAGTGGTTAAGGCGTTCGCTCGTCACGCCGAAGACCCGGGTTCGATTCCCGACATGGGTACAATGTGTGAAGCCCATTTCTGGTGTCCCCCGCCGTGATATTGCTGGAATATTGCTAAAAGTGGCGTAAAACCATATTCACTCACTCACTCACTCACAAGGCAATGTCATACACAGACAAAAGTGTGACATGTCACCGACAATCAGTAGGCAATGTCATACACAGACAAAAGTGTGACATGTCACCGACAATCACAAGGCAATGTCATGGAAAGACAAAAGTGTGACATGTCACTGACAATCAGTGGGCAATGTCATACACAGACAAAAGTGTGACATGTCACCGACAATCAGTAGGCAATGTCATACACAGACAAAAGTCTGACATGTCACCGACAATCACAAGGCAATGTCATACACAGACAAAAGTGTGACATGTCACCGACAATCAGTGGGCAATGTCATACACAGACAAAAGTGTGACATGTCACTGACAATCAGTAGGCAATGTCATACACAGACAAAAGAGTGACAAGTCACCGACAATCACAAGGCAATGTCATACACATCAAAGCATATGCGCAACCACATTCAATGCAGCTTGTGATTGAGAGCATCCATCAGTCAACAATATCAAAACATTGAATATTTTAATACTCATTTCCCCTTACCTTATGGTTTGTTCTATTGAAGTAATGCCTATACCCACTCATGTGTAAAGATATTATATCTAGTGTCATTCACTAAACACAGCAGAATAACGCGAGGCCCTCTGCAGTAGGTCCTGTCATTAGGGTACGGTACGGGACGTCATGTCACTTCCAGTGTACACAATAATGTAGAGTCCAACACGAATACAGGTCGGCGCACTGTAGTGAGGTTTATGGTTTTTATTTGAATTATGAAACTGCTCTTACATCTATTAAGAAGATTATTTTAGTACGCCGACATGTTTCTGCAGGTTGTCAATCCTAAACAATAGAGACCTGGGAAATTGTTTTCTGGGAACATGTGTAAGTATATACACGTTAACTTACAAGAGAACGCAGGGTCTGTTCGTCCTTGCCGATATATTCCGTCATGGTGTCACTTGGTAGGTATCCAGTATGCCAGGTACATGTCCAGCCGACCGACACACGTGTCCACTGCTACCGGCCATTCCCCTCTCCCAACACACTGACAATGTTTACATCCTACCGACATAGCATGCTCGCTCGTTAAGTCAACGAGAACTGCGGTACCGTTAAACCCTAGGGGGTGACATGTGATTTACAGACTCGTCACTACATTCCGCGCATGTGAATAGGATCTAAGTATGCCATAGACACCTCCTACAGTTTATTTCAATACTCTTGAGGACCTTTCAAACAGTGTGAAAAAAGCATAGCGCGTCTTATTTGTTGACAGGGGGCCTGGCAACAAGTGCCGGCCACCCCCGCTCTGGAAGTGGGTACTCCCATACCGGTCCCGCTGACCAATCAAATATTTGCGGTGTTTCTTTGATCTAATCTAACGCCTTGTCTTGGGATTCCGAGTTGCAAACAGCACGTAATTTGATGAACCTCTTTCTCCAGAAAAACAACAACATTATTTTACTCTTTCGACAGACAACATATAAAAATAAATCGAACATTGCAAATGTTTCTATCACGTATTTCGCTGCTACCCGATTAAAGAATAGTTTCGATTTACTTTGAACATGTTTAAAATAGCCTTTTTCATGAAAGTTAGTTTGTTTCGTAGCAATGCATGAACACCGACGAATGTCAACAAAACGTAATGTACATTATAAACACATGGTGCCGGTGTTATAAGTGGTGTGATGCCGGCTAAATTCGCTTGTACTATGTTGTTTCGACCCTGAAAATCCCCCGGGGGAAGTAAAATAATCACACTTTTATTGTCAAATAATAACACATTTATCTAGCTTTCCCTCGATCTCTGTCGATGATATAAATCTTCGGTACTAGAATACTCAATTATTAATCTAGCCGCAGATCGTCAATGCCCACTCATGAAAGCAATGCGTGTTTGAGCGTCAATTATACCTGTTCTTTTCCACGGAGAAAGGTCAATCAAACCCGCCCGACTGCCATGTATAATTGATGGTAATTAGAAAGAAACCCCCTGGTTTTAAACCAACAATAAACAAATGGGTTTGTGCCGGGAGACGTCACTAGTAACGGCCATCACTCCATCAGTCACCGTGCGACAGCTAGGACAACTCATGCGTGCACGCTTCAACACCAATAGACAAAACTCTGGGATGGACATGTATTAATAAGCAATTTCCATAACACGTGAACGCTGGCCCGACCGCTTTACAGATGCTGATTGCAGCCAGCAATCACGACGAGGCTTATCTCTGTGCAGACGGCGACCAATGAATTAAACATAATGTAGACGCATAATATGATATCCTGTGATGGATGGTGCTTTTAGTGTATCGACCCGCTACAATGTCATATGTATCAATTTCATCATATTTTATGCATGTAAATAACACGAGGCCAGATTCTTAAATCTTCGAACCCGTCTTCTCAGGAAAAAACCAAACACATGAAGACTAGTGTTGTATTCAGTGACCTTCAATACCTTTAGACATTGATCTGCTCATTCGAATTACACAGTGGGATAAACGCTCTATGCATGTTCACGGGTAGTACAATGCGCCGGACACGGGCAAGTCTGGCTATATTCTGTACACACGACACACTATCATCACCATATGCCACGGCTTCAATATCACTATATACACCTCACGCCCACAATTAATCATATGTGTCGAGCTGTCTCAGGAGCGTTATTAAATTCTAATAGCATTGAAAGTGTGCGTATGCAAGTGCTGTGCTTGTCGTAATGTTGTATATATAGGTAGGTAGCTGTAAGTAGTTCACCATGGCACTACCTGCCACGTGCTGTAAATGCGTACATGCCCGTATGTTTTCACATACATACATAGATGTTTTATTCGGTATTTAAGGTCACATTGTACAGTTGACATTTTCAGTTTCATTTGTTTATCTGACAGAGAATATATGTTTCAACAATATGGCTAAAGAACGTGTAACGGCAGAGTTGTTGGATTTTATAAGACTGATCATTAACATCTTGGTTTTTTTATGTCTATTGTTAGAGTATGGAATATACTTTTCTCTAAGATGTTCATACTTATCACATACTAATAAAACATGAAATTCTTCCTCAATCTCTCCTAATTGGCAGTTTTTACAGATACCCATTTCAACGTCCTTTTTTTCACATCTACGTCTAAAATTTACGTTGAAATTGTGTAATGACACGCTGACTTTACATAATGCCCTAACAAGCGATTTATCATCTGACATGCTACATATACTTCTCTGGTTCTATATAGCAGACTTGATATACTTGTAATGGCCGAGGAAACGTGAAGAAGATACACTCTCATGCCAGTTTTGACTATACATTTCCTGTAACCTTTGTTTAAAAGAGTATAAGAACAAATTTGAATTTCCTACAACTTGGGAAATCCACTCAGATGAATAACCACGTGGAAATAATAAATATTTGACGTTGGACAGCCAATTAGTTTTGCCTTTGTCATCAAGAGGTATCAGTAGTATATACCATTGATGAGGATATCTTTGCGATCCCATCCTCAGTTATTTTAGCCAATATTTTGTCATTCGAAGTTGACTTTATACATGTACATGAATGGGATTGCGTCCAGTTTCACTTAAACTATAGCGTTATTTGAAGCATAATTTCCAACAATTAAAAAGCGTTTAAAGTAAAGCACTTTTCAATAGCAATATAGCTTTTAGCAATATTCCAGCAATATCACGGCAGGGAACACCAGAAATGGGCTTCACACATTGTACCCATGTCGGGAATCGAACCCGGGTCTTTGGCGTGACGAGCGAACGCTTAAACCACTAGGCTACCCGACCGCCCCAGATGATAAGAAGCAATGTGCTCTACCAGATTGTGTTTTAACACGAGGATTTGCCGATGAATACATACTTTTGAGAACTAGAAACAATTTCCCATGACATGCTGTGATAAGAAGTAACTATAACATTTTTTTCTCTATCTACATAATCGAAACTTTTTTTGAAATCTTCAAATGCACAATAAAAGCGACAGCTAGGTTTACATGAATATTTCGAACATAAAGCTTGCAACATCAATAAATTGTCAACCGTTGAGAGAAAACCAGCCAGACTTTCAAATAGAAGATTACATGTTTTCACATCCAACCAAACTCTAAGACTCTTTTCTGTAATAAAAGTAAACAGCTTTCCCGTTACATTTAAAACTGAAATACCCCTGTAATTACGGGGCTCAGACCTTGTACCCGATTTGTACAATGGTAATATCATACCAACGTTCTACGACCCCGGAAACACTCCAGTATTCATAATTTTAAATATAGTATAAGAATTTTGCCTGATAACCTAAAATAAATCAGGTGGTATTCCATCTCCACCGGCAGATTAAGCGGCTTTCAGACTTTGTAATGCACACTCAATCTCTTTCTCTGATATTTCACCTGATAACAGATCATCTATGTAACTCTTTACAATCTTCACATGAATAGTCATATCAACACACAGTTTAGCATCGTATGCTTTCTTCGTTTTTTACAGCACCTTTTGAACTCAGATTTCTCATTAAGATAAAGGTGTAAATTGACATCACATTTATATTTTCTAATCTTGTTCAGCAACCTCTTTTTTCTGGCTTTTAGAATAGTACAGTCTATATCAAACCACGGCGGTTGTTGCTTATCGTGCTTTGTAGCTACTGTGATATATGCTGCTGCATGTTACCACAGTCAATTATAATATAGCTAAATGTTCTTACAGCAGTATCAACATTATCTTCTAATACGATAGATCATCCGTGCAACATGTACAGCAATGCCACATTTTTGCGAAAGTGTATATACAGTCGAACCCCGTTGTATCGTACTCCTGGGGACCGGAGAAATAATTTTGACTTGTCCGGGTGTCGACACATCCGACTCGACATTATTACCGTATGACCCAGCTATGACCACAACCGGGAATTTCACACATCCGAGTTCGAGACAACGGGATTCGAGTGTACTTCCAGAAGAGTGTGACGGAGCACGTGTACTAGAATATATGTGTATTATTGTCATTCTGTGTAAAGCAACAACTTTTATTCTCACCAGTAACACACGACAACACTGGTACAACATTAGGCTAACGCTTAGTCTATGACAACTTTTATTACACACTGCATTTCATATTGATATAATGTAGACTGGTTGTGATAAAGTTAAATGCAGATATTCCACAGTCAGGCTGCAGCACACAATATATGCAGGTATATAACATGACGTGTCCCATTAACGTTTTACACAGTGATAAATCAGGATTCATTTCAAGAAGGCGCCGTGACTCGTGAAGCATATCTGACAATATGCATAATACCCACGTCCTTGTGTCGTTGAACTCAGTGAGGATATATACTATTTTAATAATATTCGCTACCTATAGACTCTGTACATGGGAGGCTCCACATAGTCGTGTTGTGTATGTCAGCGGCCAGTACATGGAACTTATGTATGTAGGGTGAGTGTAGAAGGTGCTAGTGTATGTTGGGTGAGTGTGTGGGTAGCTAGTGTCTGTAGGGTGAGTGTGTGAGTAGCTAGTGTATGTAGGGTGAGTGTGTGAGTAGCTAGTGCCTGTAGGGTGAGTTTGTGAGTAGCTAGTGTATGTAGGGTGAGTGTGTGAAGAGCCGGTGTATGTAGGGTGATTGTGTGAGTAGCTAGTGTATGTATGGTGAGTGTGTGAAGAGCTGGTGTATATAGGGTGAGTGTGTGAAGAGCCGGTGAATGTAGGGTGAGTGTGTGAGTAGCTGGTGTTTGTAGGGTGAGTGTGTGAAGAGCTGGTGTATATAGGGTGAGTGTGTGAAGAGCCGGTGAATGTAGGGTGAGTGTGTGAGTAGCTGGTGTTTGTAGGGTGAGTGTGTGAGTAGCTGGTGTTTGTAGGGTGAGTGTGTGAGTAGCTGGTGTTTGTAGGGTGAGTGTGTGAGCAGCTGGTGTTTGTAGGGTGAGTGTGTGAGTAGCTGATGTATGTAGGGTGAGTGTGTGAGTAGCTGGTGTGTGTAGGGTGAGTGTGTGAGTAGCTAGTGTATGTTGGGTGAGTGTGTGAGTAGCTAGTGTATGTTGGGTGAGTGTGTGAGTAGCTAGTGTCTGTAGGTTGAGTGTGT